CAATGACACTGCCTTAACTCCTGGGTGCCTGAATGTTGTTGTCTGCCCTTTGTATCCCTCCTAATCTTTTCCTCCAGTCTATCAGTTTTTTCCTTACAGAAAATATATGCTAGGGTGGAAAAAGTGGAATAGTGCATAATAGCATTGGGTGGTAAATGCCAGGAGCTCTCCATCTGGAAGAACCCCATATTCTGGATATGATTCATGGTCCCATAGCTTGGATTGTGTACTAAAATGATTTTCAAAGTACCTCTATTTATAGATTGCCCTTAGGCAAAGTCTGGCTTTACTAAAAGCCCAGTCCTATTTACCCTTAGCTCTTGAAGCCTCATAATCTTTAGCTCTCACAGGGCTCTTGACTTGGCAGGCACTCTTGGAAACAGCCATCCCCAACTTGGTGCCCTCCCAAACTGTTGGACTACAATTCACATCACCACCCTAGCCAGCGCAGGCAGTGGCTATGTCAGGAGGTGTAGTTCAATACATCTTGATGGCATCAGGGTGAGGAAGGCTGCTTTAGAACAAGCACTGTGCCACATATTTTGATTTTCTGCAGATGGGGTGACCAAAAGGTAAAACGTGTCCAAAGAAACAAAAACAAAGGGCTGGGGAAGGCGAGGAAAGGATTTCTCCTTGTATGGGTGGTGTGTTCTAGTCAGCCTGGAATAGTTCACTCAGCCAGATTATACAACTCCAATTTACCCAAATCCAAGAGGATACCTCCCTGTTGCAACAGTTGCAGGTCTCTGCTAAAAGCTAAGGGCCAGACCATCTCTGTGCAGAGACTGCAATGAAGATGCCCTGGCTGAGGTCAGCTCCAGGCACAGGTGCTCCACTTAGCAAACCTATTGAGCAGGTGCCTAAACAATGAGGAATCCTAGAATCCCTCTCAGAGCTGAGCTTCGGCCATTATCAGACAGCAGATGAAAAACAAGAGATTCTGCAATCTCCCTCAGCAAGCAGGGAGAGAGCAAACGAGATGATATACTCCACTGGAAAAAGAAGTCGGAGGTCTTTTTCTTCCATCACAGGAGCCACAAGCAACTCATGCAGGGAACAGGGGAGCTTGGACAAGCACTACGAGAGGAGAGAGAACCAAGGTTTTTCCAGTATAGGAGGCTGGGTGTTTACTCAAAGAAAGGCACAAGCGTGGACCTGACAAAGGAACTAGGAAAACTTTAGCATGGACATTAAGGTTCTTCAAGGAATCAGCTCAGTTTTTGTCTTTTGCCTCTGATTTGGCACTTTGGCTACTTACCGTTGTGTGTGCAGAATCCAACCCCCCCCCCCCCCCCCCCGATTCTTTTTCCTGGATCCTTAATAAATCTTTTACCCCAATTTTTAGCTTTGGGGCTGTGTGCTTTGGGGGTGAAAAGGGGGATGATCACTTTCTGGGTCACACTACACTGTTTCAACATCCAGGTTGCCTGCAACATGCTGAGCAAAACTTTAAAGTTAGCTATGCTCCCCTAAGGATAAAAGAGAGCTACAGAGAAGCACGATGCAACAACTGAATTTTATCGGCAGTAGTGGCAACCCATTATCGCTATAGGCCCAGCTCTACAGGGGCTTGCTAGAGTGCCCACAAGCTTCAGGTCACCACATGGTGGCTGAGGGATTTTTTAGTTATTTTTCTTTAAGAACATCTCCTGCACTTGCAGCAGCTCAGCTCTCTTTCCACAGAAGTCTGTCTAGCCCCACAGCTCTTGCTGAATTCCCCTAAGACCATGAGCCATGGCCCTCTCCCCTAAGCATCCAGAAAGCACCTTGGGCTGCAGAGACCTTTCTGCAAAGTTCTGGGCTGCCACAGTCCAGCAAATGGGACTTCTAGTGTCAGAAGAACTCTGCTTTTGCTTGCAACAGGACAGAATTCTTTGCAGAGAGACTTTCCCGAGGGGCATGTACGAGTAGGAGCCCCTGCTGGGCTACAAGCCTCACTGCAAAGAGCACTGTCCTGGCACGAGCAAGATCAGGATTTTTCTTAAAGGCCCTTTCGCTTTTACTTGCAGCAGTGGGAGATTCTTTGCACAGAGGCTTCTGCAGGCCAGCAATGCTTCCTGGATGCTTATTAGCAAGGGTGACACCCCACCGCCTCAAAGGAGTTCACCACGTATCGCTGGATTGGAGAAGCCTCGAGTCTCATGCTGCTCCATGTCCATGGAACATTTTTCAAAGGAAAAAGAACAGCCTTTCCAAAACTTAAAAAAGTATATGAAAACCATGACGACACCCCTCCGCCCGGCACTTCCTATGGAGAAATTCTTCCACTCCCTGCAAGCAGAAAAAGCAACTTCTTTTGCAAAGAAAAACAAACACTCCTACAGAAGGAAGGCTCCAGCACAGCAGTTTAAAATAATGCTCTGGAGGACCCTGAATCTGGATTGAGGCTGCAAGAGTCTTTTCCACTTGTCCCAGCACTGGAACTAACCCCATGCCAACAGCTTATCTCTGCCCCCATACAGGGAAAACTAGACAGGGCAGCAGCAGCACCCGTATCTCAGGACAGGAGGCATTTCATGCTCTCCATTTAGTGCTGCCAGCCATAAATTACGCTCTTTAAAGCATGTCAATGCTTCTGGTTCAGTACTGAAATGCTCAACAGGGAATACAAGAAGTACCTTGTTGAAAGTGTTTCAGCCTGACACAGGCCTGTGTTCCCCACAGCAGAAATGGTTCCGTATGAGAAATTAGGAATACATTATGGGGAAATTAGTTCATGCTGTGCCTTCTTTATCATTATTAGCTTCACACAAGGCAAAACACTCTTCTACCACAAACATTTTGCTGCACGGACAACTGCTTATATGTTACACTGAAAAGTACACTTATAGGGAGGCCAGGACTGACTGGAACATGTTTACATACAGCACAATGTTATCTGAACAGAGGAATTTTGTCTTTCATAAGTCTACTCTAACTGCAAGTGGCATTAAGAATACCAATTATCTGTTACAGCCCTCCATAAAAGTACCTGAAGAGTTATCAACTCTGCAAGAGTGAAAAGGAAGGACACAGAAAAAAGGTGAAAGTGGCTGAATTAAAAATACTGATCTTGAAGAGATCTGTCCTGAAAAAAGGCAGAACTAAAATGAGGAATTAAGCCAAGTTAGAACATGAGGTTTTTTTTATTTTTGTAACATTAAAAAAAACTGATAGACTTGGAGGACGGCCTTGTATGTATTTAACAAAACAACTACAAAATAAGAAGGGTCAAGGCAGGGAGGGAGAAAGGAAGGTGAGCCAAGCTAAGATAGAAAAGCTGAACCACACTGGAAACACGTGAGCTGTCCTTGGAACTGAAAATGTTCCTTTAAAATTTACAGTATTTGAGATATGGGTCCTTGACCTTGAAGCAGTGTGTTGACATACATGCTGGTGATGAGAATGCCTTGTACTCAAAGCAGATATGGTAGAACACCTGCTTTGGATGCAACAAGTAAAGGAAAAAGTCTGTCCGAAACTCTGGAATGCCACTGATAGTGGCTGGGTCCAAACAAGAAAAGGCATAGATTAATTTTTCAAACCAATGTTGTCTGAACTGTCATGGCATTTCACCATGTGAAGTTTCCTTGAAAAGCGATAAGGAACAATGATTTGTTTGGTTTCCCCATACCACATGGCTTATTTTGTCTGAAAGCATGATGATAATTTCCATGGTCCTGGTTTGTGACTACCAGAGTCCCCTGGTAGGGAACAGCAGCAAAGAGCTGTTCTAGCCACTCAGCCTCTGTGTGCAGATCAATGAGGAAAAAAACAGGCAACATAAGCAGGAAGCAATGAAGCTTGGGATTAAATTTCAGGCACAGAGGTTCACAGGAAATGTGCCAACAGTAGGAGTGAGTGGGGATGATGGAAACCATAGCATAGAAATAGCTTAATTGTCTGTGGGTAGGCGATTTGTGAATTAGGACTACTACGCAGAACAGGTACCACAGCATGGTTTCTGTGAAGGTTTTTGTGACTTACTGCATCATACCCACCCAGTTAGGAGTGCAAGGTGGTTTATATGAAAGTTGGCATTTTGGACCACTTTCTAGAATATAGAAAAGTGCTTGATCTCTGTAAAAGTTCTGTGGTGGCTTGGCTCATCTGGAAATTACTGTTATAGGCCTTTCTGTTCTGTTCCAGTTGGCTTTGGGGTAATATGGGGTTCATAGTAACACAATTTTGCAAAGGTTTGCACCCTAAAATATTGTTCTCAAGTGTCTTTATCACTTGTCATAGTTTGTGGCATTCTCTTTTAAACAAAGGGACTATTCTTGATAGCTCTGTTCCGTCTTTTACATAGTTGCCTCCTGCTTCTTAGCTGATCATCATCATCCTCTCCTACATGAGAAAATATGACAGTGTGCTAAATTTAATTTGGGAAATAAGCAGGTATATAGAATGATAGCTGGGCACTGAAAAATGGGAGACAGTAATACAGAATACTCAGACTTGCAAATACTAGAATCTTCCTTTTTGATAAGAACAGCTGCTCTTCTCCTATAAGTATGGATTCAGGTCTACTATAACATCAAATAAATAAGAGATGCTGTCATGTTGGCTGCATTTAATGTGTTCTTTTGATTGACCAAAGTGCCTTAAAAAGAGTTTGCAACTGTTCTAGGAGAGACAGTATCAAAATTGGTATCACAGTTGTTTTTATATGGCAATAATCCTAAAATGGGCTGTATCATATTCTGTTATAAGATTCTTCATACATCAGCCAAGAAAGCTAACTGGGTCACATTATGCATATGTCTCTTGTAGTGGCAAAGAAAACTGAAGGAATATAACAGAAGAACAGGCAAAATGTCTATGAACTGACTTTGCGGCAGTCTCTCTCACACATAACTTGTTCAAAGCCAAGTTCTATCCTTTCAGTCTGACTTTCTGTATGGGAGGTGGGTAGGGTTCCACGGGGTTTTTTCATGATCAAATACTATATGATCTTTATAGGCTTCGAGAGAAATAATCAGGGTGAATGTTTTTATTGTACCTCACCTGTGCAAACGTACCTGGAATGGTGGGACTGTTTCGAGGCAACTTGCATAGTGCTGCCCTTGATGATATGATACTCCCACTAATTGCACTATTTCAATAGTAAAGTATACACACTAAAAGTAAAAAGAAAAAAGAAACTTCACTTGGGTTCTTTTCAGTGATGCAAGGCTAAAGTTTACTCTAACGCAGTACAGATGTTTGACGCAAGTTGCTAGAGAAAACTGAAAACTGCAGTCCTACCACACTTAACTGGGAACAAGCCCCACTGACTTAGAGACATGTTTACTTCTAAGTAGGCAAGCAGAGTCTTGCTCTGCTAGCTTTCGTGGCTGATCTAGAAAGAGACACACAACACAGGATACCAAAACCCATTGTGTAGCAATTCCGATTTCCCCGCGCCGTTAGAGCATCCAACGACGATACCGATGGTTATCGGGATATGTAGTCCGTATTCCAGTCCTCCCTCCGTGTAATCAGGGCACTACTTTTCCCAGAAAGCAACGGGACAGCGCGAGCAGCCACATTACGTCAGAGGCGCGGAGAGCCAATCGGGTTGCGGCCGAAGCGAGCGCCGTCAGCCGCCAATGTTGTTTTCGCTGAGTCGAGCGGCTGGTGTTGTTGGCGGCGCCGGCGCCATATTGGAAGGAACGAGGCGGTGTTTTTTTTCCCCCTTTACCCCACCCAAACCCCCCTCCTCGCTCGTCGTAGAGAAAACGGAGCCTCCTGAACGCGGGGCTCGCCGCCACCGCCGCCATGCTGTACCTGGAGGACTACCTCGAGAGTGAGTCTTTGTAGTGGGAAGCGCGGCGGGGGGGCACCAGGCCCGAGGGGAGGGGGAAGCAGGGAGCGAAGCGGAGGCTCCACCCTCCTCCTCCTCCTCCCTCCCCCTTTCATGTCGGCCGCCAGTCTGACTGACTCGCTCCTTCTCTCCTCCCCTCTTCCCTGCAGTGATCGAACAACTTCCCATGGATCTCCGCGACAGGTTCACCGAGATGCGCGAGATGGACCTGCAGGTGCAGAGTACGTGAGTCAGCCCCGCCCACAGACCGCCTTCCTGGCGCGGCCTCACGCGCAGCCCCGCGAGCGGAGGGTGGGAAAAGTTTGCTTCTGTGAGCGGCTTCAGCGGCGCCGCAGCGGGAAGCAAACCTGCAGTGTTGGCCTCCGTTCTGGTGCACACTTGCTTGAGAGCGAGCCCCGTTGTATTTAGCACTATTTCTACGTGCACAGGGCTGACCCCTAAGGGTAGAGAGCAAGAAAGGAGCTCCACTTATTTGATAGGGTTTATGCGTCCAGGAAAATAAGTTCCGCGGCAGGGTGTGCAGTGGACTTTATCCCACAATTACTGAACTGGTTTGTTTAATTTGTATTACTAATTGGCTCTTGTAGGTTTGAGGTTCTTGGGCTAGAAGTCACCAGATGCAGTTCTTTTGAGCAATGCAAGCATTGTATGTCCAGTCATGAGACTTAGGAATGCAGGGTGATCCTTATTTGTTATAGGGAAAGGCAAAGTTTATAGAACTGTGAGAACTTTGCATTTATGTATATGCAGTAATACCAGACTTAAACCGTACATGAATTCCATTAAAAGTGAATGATGTTGTATTTCACATTAACCAAGCAGGTTGGTAGCTTCATATTTGTTGTCTAGATACATACAGAGGCATACCTATATACAAATAGATCTACATTTCTGCCAAAAGGGGTGGCAGGGGCAGCATTTTTTCTGACTTTTTTTCTGTCAGATTCACATAAGTATGCATGTTTTTATTTCAACACAAAAAATACATAGACATAGAAACACATTTCCTTACAAAAGTCTTTGCACACTGACAATCACAATGTGCATGCTTGCAGGCACATATGTATACGTGCAATTACAAGAAACCCTGTAAGTTCTCAGTCAACTTTAGTCAGCATTGTTGCACTACTGAAATCTGCCCATTGGAAACACTCTTGAGCTAGCTCCTGCCCATGCTTTGGAAATGAAATTGAGCAAGGCCAAAAGGAAGGGTAAATGTGTTAAATGTAGGGTGGGACCTGCAAGGTTGCACATGTAGGACAAGGGAATCTAAAGCAGCCTGCAGGATGACAGGCTGTGTTCTCAGATGCACTGAGAATAAACAGGTGGACTTGCAGCAGCACTATAGGTAGCAGTTTCTGAAACAAATTCAATAAATACTGTAAATGGACAACTTTCACATAATTATAGAAAATATACTTATTAAAGAAAAAGCCCTCACAATGTCATAACATTAACTTTGAACTAAGGGCCTCTGATTACTGTGGAATGTGTTCCCCTATAACTGTATATAGGATTAAAGGTTTAACACAATCTTTAACACAATTAAAGGCTTCCTCACAATCTAGGAAGAGTTGGCCAAGAGAAATAGGATTCTGTCATTGTTGCTGTTATTTCAAAAAAATGAGGAGTATTAGCAAGGGTGAGCAACTACAGGAAATTTAATGGATCTTTGTGCCCTCTGTGTCACCTGCTTTGTAGGCAGTGACAAATAATAATTTAGATGGTGTCTATAGCAGCTACAGGGACTGCAGGTGGTACAGTGGTTTAAACTGCTGTGCTGCTGGGCTGGTTGATCGAAAGGTCACCGATTCGAATCTGCACAATGGGGTGAGTTCCTGTTGCTCCGTCCCAGCTCCTGCCGACCTTGAAGTTCGAAAACATGCAGATGCAAGTAGATGAAAAGGTACCACTTTAGTGGGCAGGTAACAGCATTCTGTGCACCTCGGTGTTTAGTCATGCCGGCCACATGACCACGGAGATTGTCTGTGGACAAACGCTGGCTCCCTCGGCTAGGAAACGGAGATGAGCACCGCACCCTAGAGTCAGACATTACTGGACTTTAATGTCATGGGGAAACCTTTACCTTTTTATAGCAGCTACAAAGTTATTTGATACTGAATGCTCCCTAGCTCCTATGGAAATCTTATTTTCCTGACGAAACATCTCCCCATCCACTTTGGGGAGTGGTAGGGGCCTCATGTGGTCTGTGACTCTTGTGTTGCCCAGCCCTGAGTTACAGACTGACAGCATTACCTTTTATATGGCTGTCTAGCTAGTTTGTTACATTATTTATCTGCCATAATTTATTTTACATTACTTATCTAAAGCCTGCCCATACCACAAAGTTCATGTAGGCAAGCAGTACCCGCAAAACAACCCAAAAAAGCATTAAAAGGCTAAAATAGGGCAAAAGAAGACCTTTTTCTATACCGGATTAAGCCTTCAGTCTATTCACCAAATAGTCAATATTATTGAATATGATGGGACATAATTCTGAATAACCGATGTTACAATGGTGCTTTAAACCTGCAGTCTTATGCACATTTCCTTGGAGTAAGCCTACCAAACATAGAAGTGCCTACTGCTGAGTAAGCATGCATTAAATTTATTTTCATGCCAGTTTTATTTTAAGATGTCAGTAAAGCCACTCTTTAGATCACTGATATTTAGGTGCTTAGTAAAAGAATTTCATGCAGTGTAATCAGTTTGCACAGTTTCAGATTTCCCATAGAATGTAAAATACATTGACTGTAAAATATTAGTGGCCTTGCTTATACTCCTCTCAAGTCTTATGTTTCTCTTTGTTGGGCACACATGTTCAGGCTTATGCTAAGTTTACTTGGAAATACTTTCATTTCTGTGGGACTTTGCCCCAGCTCAATAATATCTTTGGGCTCAGATACTTCTGAGCCCTCTTGGGCAAACTTTGAAGGTAGTTGTGCCTACAGTCAATTTTCTGGGCAGCACCTTTGCTGATGGGGTTATTACGGGTTATACCAATATGTCCATAGAAGCCTTTATTCAGGCTAGTGGGGCTGACGTTGGCTGCTGGTGAACATAAGCACAATATTTGCTATTAGGAAATGTTTATTTTCTATCCTAACAAACAACTAAGAAAAACTGCCTGCATTAATTCTTGTATGCAACTTTAATAATTATATGTCAATCCATAAACTGCTCACACTACTAGTTTTGACTGAGAAAAACAGGTTTTGAACATTTGCATTTATTTATTTATTCATTTATTTTTTCTGGACTATGATGTTACCTTTTCTTGAAAATTCTTCAAGAATTTTGATTACAGTGCATTGGACAAGGCTCTCGATCAGATTTGTTTAGGGCACGATCCTTACATATTTGTACATAGGAAAAGCTCTACATTTTACAGCCTTCCCTAACCAGCATAGGCTTGTGTCCTTAATGAATTAATATCCAAATTGATGCAGTTGTTCCAGTACATGTCCCACTGCTCTCATTGGGATTTGTTCCCAATTAAGTTTGTATAAGATTAGAACTGTGCAGCACCATTTTGCATGTTTAATCAGAAGTATGTTCTGTTGAGTTCTCTGGGTTGGTGGGTGTGGGGAGGACTTTCTGGATAAATAAGCATAGTATTACAGCTTTTAACTAATTGGGTATGTTCTGCTGCAGGTTTCAGGGGAGGTACATCTTTTCCAAGAACATTTCTCAAAAGCAAACATTATTTATTCTGATTGAACTTGTCTCCAGATCAAATTGTGATCTTATGCATGCATATTTGGGAATAAGTCTTAATGAATCCATTGATATTTAGTGCAGATAAGCATTCTTAGGAGTTTGCCATTTGTCGCTCAAAATGTGATTACTAGAAAAGCAGGCTATATTTTGTGACCACTCCTGGGTGTTCATTTTCCTAATAATGCAGTCAAAAGTATGTTTACCTATTTCTGTTTCCTTATGACAATCCATTGCAAGTTCATGGAAGATAAGGAAATGCTGTCTGGTGTTCTATGTCTTTAAGATGCAATGGATCAACTGGAACAAAGAGTAAATGATTTTTTTATGAATGCAAAGAAAAACAAGCAGGAATGGAGAGAAGAGCAAATGACTTCAATTAAAAAGGTAAGAATAAGGCAAACTCTGCCCAAAACAAAACTAGACTTTTGAATTAGTTCTAGCATTACTCTTGTCTCTGGAATTTCAGAAAAACTTTTCACACAGTCCACTCACGTAAGTAGTGTGATATAGGAGGCTCAAGTTCATGGAAGACTGTAGCTCCTTTTTGTTGAAAACGAGCACTAATTGTGATTTTTTTCATCTGATGTGATACCTTGTTTTACCTGAAAATGAATGAGTTATTTACAAGTAACTTTATAACAAAACTTAGACTACTTGATGAAAGATCCTTTTACTATTAATAGGATACTGCTAATATAGATTTAGGGCAGGAGTGGAAATCCTTAGGCTCAGATAGAGATGTCAAGACCTGGAAAAAATGTAAATATTAAAAAGTAGGAGTTTCTTCCCAAGATGCTTATATATGTATACAGTTATGAAGATTATATTTAGCTTTTACTCCCCCCCCCAAATTATTTATAAAAATTATGCAATGGGACTTTTATAGAAAGTCTAGAAATGTAAAATGTTTTGAAATAATAACTCTGTGGGGGAAGGGATAATACATTCTCTGTAATATTTCCAGCCTAGTTATTTCTCCCATTCCTTATTAATATTATTGATCTAATTTATCTTAACTGATAATCATTTTGGGATGTCCCAGGTCATGCTAAGTTTCTGAGTGAACTAATTAACATGTAATATGAAGTAAAATGCTCATTCTTAACAATTGGCA